AAGCCATTCCCTCTTGTGCAAGGAAGCTCGCAAGTTGCGAGGCCGCATGCAGTTTGCCCTATGGTCAATTATCGGGACGATACCACTCGAGATGTCTCTCATCTTTGCATGAGCTTTCTGCCCTGGCGCCGGGCTCTCGAGCCCCTTCATCGCTTGTGAAGATTTTGGAGCGCTGTTTGCATTCTCTTGTCCATTCCATGCCCAGAGCAATCAGCAGCAAAGACCGCCTCGTTTGGCATATTTTCACAGATGGTGCCTTGGAGGCTTCCAAGCCCTCCATAGGAGGAGTCCTTGTGGACTTCTTTGGGCAGCCCCGCTTTCATTTTTATTTTGAGCCCCCAGCTCTTTCAGTTCTTGCGACCTTTGGATCTCACTGCATTTTGCACCTCGAGATCCTTCCCATTTTGATGGCACTTCACCTCTGGCCAGACCTGCTCTCAGGCACGGCCATTTTCTTTCATGTGGACAACGAAGCTGCCCTCCATTCCCTCGTTCGCATGTCCTGCGACAACCACGCGGCCGACAAGCTCGTCCAGCATTTCCTACGCCTTGAGCAACGGATGACCTTCGATCCGTGGATCCACCGGGTCCCTACCCAGGTGAATGTTGCCGACGCCCCCAGTCGAGGCGATGAGTCTCAATTACTCTTCTTGAGATCCCAAAAGTCCCACGTTACACCAACCATTTGGAACAGTCTTTGGAGCGAGCTGCAGTTGTAAAATTTGCTCGCTGTTTTGCCATTTCATTTCTCACGCATGTCTTGCGCATAGTTTGCCAATCATGCTTTTCTTCACACATGTATTCGTTTGCAGTTTCCGTCCGCTTGTGCCGCCTCAGGTGACTACACACGGTCGAGCACTCAGTGCAGGGGGTGCGTGCGAGTTCTCGACATGGGGCGCTTGCCTGCCCTCACCCCCTGTGGCCTTCTTGGGGGACCCCCCTCTTTTCGGGTGTGAGTCCCCCCTTTCTGAGAAGGACCTTTCCTTACCTTTGATGCTCTACCCCGTGTGCTGAAAAGGAGTGCTTGCGCTCAAGGTTCCTTTGTCAAGTATTTTTGAGAGACTCAAGCTGCTTAAGGGCACCAGGTATAAGGATTGCTAGTGCTTGCACTCGCGGCGTTATACTGGTGCCCTTAACTGTTGAGTTGCAGCTTGAGGCTCAAACCTTTCCTTTCCTTGCAATTTCAGGGCCTTAGATTTTCTCCCACCCGCCCACCCAGGTTGGATGAGTGAGTGGCTACGCCTGCCACACCCAGTGGCTTACCTTTCAGTCTAGGTTCGGGCGGGGCGCTTGCCTGCCCTCACCCCCTGTAGCCTTCTTGGGGGACCCCCCTCTTTTCGGGTGTCTTTTTTTTGGGGGTCCCCCCTTTCTGAGAAGGACCTTTCCTTACCTTTGATGCTCTACCCCGTGTGCTGAAAAGGAGTGCTTGCGCTCAAGGTTCCTTTGTCAAGTATTTTTGAGAGACTCAAGCTGCTTCAGGGCACCAGGTATAAGTGTATGAGTTGCAGTTTGGGGCATGGGACTCAGAAGAACCAAAAGCTGGTTTATGTCACCGAGTTTGGCAAGCATTATCACCAAGCAGATTGCAAGTGGATTCGCAAGCGGCGTGTGAAGACTGTTGCTGAGAGTGATGCGGTGAAACAGCACTTCAAGAAGTGCCACAGCTGTCACTACATCATGCGTGAGCCCTTTTCAGATGCACCTGTGCCAAATGTGCAGCGTACAGCAGCAGCGGATTCAAGCAAACTGGATTGACTTGGATGGCATGTGAAAAGTGCATTCCGGTTTTCAGACGTGGAAGTTGCGCCGAGTGTTGCACAGATACCGCATTTTGCGAAGACTCTGCCAGGCCTGTTGAAACCTCAGCTGGCATTGAGTGAAATCCCCTTTCGCCCAACTGCAGGGCATTTCAAGGCGGGGTGCGTAGCTTTACATGTACCGTAGAGACCCCAGCTGAGTTGTGCCATACATGTCATGTGCGTAGCAGTTGACTCCGAGCCGATGACCGCAAGGCGTTGAGTGTCAAAATGTTCGCAGAATGAATGAATGAATGAATGAATGAATGATTGAAGAAATGAACGAAGGAAGGGAGGAAGGAAGGAAGGAAGGAAGGAAGGAAGGAATGAACGAACGGACGAATGAATGAATGAACGAATGAATGAATGAAGATTTGAATGAATGACTTGAATGAATTGAACGAACTGAACGAAACACATGAAACGAATGAAACGAATGAAATGAAAGAAATGAATGAAAGTGGTGAAGCGAGTGAACTGAATGAAATGAATGAACGAACGAACGAAAGTGAAATGAACGACGCGAAAGAAATGCAAGACGTATGAAATGACTGAAATGAAAGAAATGAATGAATCCGGTGAAATCAAAGAAACGAACGTGTTACGTGAAATGCATGAGACGCGTGAAATACTGACACGCACACATGACACGCATGAGCTGCACGAAACGCATGAAGGCATAGCGTGCATGATGTGCGTGAAACACATGACGCGCATGAAACGCATTGCATGCATTTCATGCATTTCAAACGAATGAAATGAACCAGTTGAACGAAACAAATGAAACAAATGACACGAATGAAATGAGTGAAAAGAAAGAAATGAATGAAATGAAGGAAACGAAAGAAAGAAATAACACGACTGAAATGAACGAAATGAATGAAACGAATGAAGCGAATGAAACAACTGAAGCACATGAAATGATTGAAATGAACGAACGAACGAATGAACGGACGTGAAATGAATGACATGAGAGAAACGCATAACGTATGAAATGAGTGAAATGAAAGAAACCAATGAAGCTGGTGAAAGTAATGAAATGAATGTATTGCATGAAACGCATGAGACGCATGAAGTAATGACACACATGACACGCATGGGCTGCACGAAACGCGTGAAAGTCATAACATGCATGACATGCGTGAAACACATGACCTGCATGAGACGCATGACATGCATTTTCAAACGAATGAAATGAACCACATGAATGAAACGAATGAAGCAAATGGAACAAATGAAACAAATGAAACCAATGAAATGAATGAAATGAATGAAGTACTGAACGAACGAACGACCGTACGAACGAACGAAATGAATGAATGAATGAATGAATGAATGAATGAATGAATGAATGAATGAATGAATGAATGAATGAATGATTGAATGAATGAATGAATGAATGAATGAATGAATGAATGAATGAATGAATGAGTGAACGAATGAAAAAAAGAAAGAAAAAAAGAAAGAAAAATGAAAGAAAAATGAATGAGATAATGAATGAATGAATAAATGAATGAATGAATGAATTAATGAATGAATGAATGAAGGAATGAAGGAATGAATGAATGAATGAATGAAATGAATGAAATGAATGAATGAATGAATGAATGAATGAATGAATGAATGAATGAGTGAATGAATCAGTGAATGAATTGAATGAATGAATGAAATCAATGAAATGAATAAATGAATGAATGAATTTTGGAAATGCAATGCAATGAAATGAAATGAGAGAATGAAGTTGAATGAATGAATGACTGAATGATTGAATGCATGAATGAATGAATGACTGAATGATTGAGCGACATGAATGAATGAATGAAGGAATGAAGGAATGAAGGAAGGAAGGAAGGAAGGAAGGAAGGAATGAATGAATGAATGAATGAATGAATGAATGAAATGAATGCAATGAATGAATGAATGAATGAATGAATGAATGAATGAATGAATGAATGAATGAATGAATGAATGAATTGAAATGAATGAATGAATGAATGAATGAATGAATGAATGAATGAATGAATGAATGAATGAATGAATGAATGAATGAATGAATGAATGCATGAATGAATGAATGAATGAATGAATGAATGAACATGAAATGAATGAATGAATGAATGAATGAACGAATGAATGAGTGAGTGAGTGAGTGAGTGAGTGAATGATTGAATGGAATGAATCGAATGAGTGGAATGAGTGGAATGAATTGAATGAAGGGAATGAACGAAACGATTGAAATGAATGAAATGAATGAATGAACGCACGAATGAGTGAAATGAATGAACGAACGAACGAATGAACGAATGACTGAATGAATGAATGAATGAATGAATGAATGAATGAATGAATGAATTAATGAGTGAATGAATGAATGAGTGAATGAATGAATGAGTGAGTGAGTGAATGAAAGCATGAATGAAATGAAATAAACGAAATAAACGAAATAACTGCATGAAGAAAAACACAATTGGGGTAGGGGTGCGGTCCCAAGAGACTTAGGGAGTGCCGAGCTGCATGAGGCGCCTCTCTGGTGTCAAGTGTGTTTCTCGATTTTGTCGTATTTTGAAAGGTATGTGGCATCGCTAGACACTGGATCTAGCCAGCAACTCTACGCTACAAATGAGTTCAGCGCTCGTGCAAACTCCACTCTGGCAACCAGACTGAGTCTTGTTCACTATTTTGGAAGCCGACGCTTTTCATGTTCAAGCTCGAGGCGCGCCTCTCGTGGGTACTACCCAAGATCTCATAAGCAGGGGACTAAAGCTTTGGATGCTTCTTTTGACTTTTTGAAACCTGCCAGCACAAACTCTGCAGCCTAGAGCCTCACACCGAGCTTCTCCCCCTCAAATTTGCATGCGTTTTTGCTGCTTGCTCATTCAGCATCCGAAGTTTTCCAATTGGTTTGATGCTTAACTGTAACTCTTGTTTTTTGGAGGTGTATGCAGGTGTAATTTGAAGATGTGCCGGAGTGGATGCGCAAACAGATTTTAGTGAGCTCAATTTGCATTTTTCATTCGACTTCGATGCTGTGCAGGTCGCGTGCGTAGAGTAATGCTTGGTTTTTGCGATAGTTTTTTTCTCAAGCTGCCATCAGCAAATGACTGTCATGCGAGCCAAGCATCCAAAACCAACAAAGTTGCTGCAATTTTCCCATGCAGTTCAAGACTCAGGAATGTGCTCAAGGAGATAGGACTCTGTTCTTTGGCCACCTTTCTACATCGGTTTTGCACACGCCTCTTCTTGCGCAAAACTCGATGGAACTGAGCCAATGGCAAGACGGGCGTCAGGCAAGCAGTTTGGTTGTTTTGTTCAGAGTACAGGGTTTGTTCATTAGTTTCACGCGAGGTCCAAGCGGCATTCTGCCTTCGGCATCTCAATTGGGTTGCCAAGTTGGAACATAGGATGGTTTCTGTTGGGTGAGTGCCATGTTGAATGCCTTCTCCCGTTCAGGCCTTGCAACCAGCAGCTGAACTGCATGATTATCAGCGTGCCCTTCTGATACTGCATTTCTGTTGATGGAACAGTTCAAGTGTTGTGAGCTCGGTGTTTGTTTTCCGTGTATAGAAGAGGCAATCATTCGCGACTCGAGTTAAAGCTGAGAGGTGTGCAGCGGTTCTGCATGTCAGCCAGCGCAACCCTGGCTCTTTTGCTGGCCGCCCGTGGCATCGTGTCCCAGGCTGGCTGCTGCAGACGCATGTAGTTCATCATATGTCGCCTGGCATTTTTGAAAGCAAAGACGTGGGCCAACGCAAGGATGCTCCGGAACCTTGTCCTGCTTCCTGCTTTGCAGGTCTTTGACACTGGCGAGCTCAACCCCGAGCCGCTGTCAGTGTCTCCCACGCCGTCAACGCGGCTTGAGACGCCAGTTGCTTTGCCTTGGCCGGCGCCCGTCGTGTCATCAGCTCCATCCCAGGCTGCGCAACTAGTTCGCCGGCTGAACTTGTGAGGTGATTTGTTCGCAGGTTTATTTTGTTGGTGGGGGTGCTTGGTGCCTTCGCGAGGTGCAGGCGCTCCACCAGCTGCCGCTGGTGCAGGGTTGCCGAAACTGCTGCAGCGAGGATGACCGCAACGCGCCTTGTCTAGATGT